GCTTTTTTTTTCGGTAAACGAAATTTAGAAACTCCTGCAATATATTTAATATTATAAAATTTCCGGCCGCTTTAAAAAGTCAACTTAACTAAACGGACCTCCGGATTTTACAATAGAATTTTGTGCCATGGGACTAATCATTAAATTGTCATGTAAATCAAATCACATGAATTATGCATCGCATTAAAATAAATAATATCGTAATCTTGGTGAAAAAAATTGATCTAATTCACAGGTTTTTTGCCGAACGTCACTCAAATACGTAGATGCTTTTTTTTGTACAATGTAGATTAATATGAAAGAGCACACTTTACGTGTTAGCCTCGTGTCAATATGCACACGGTGGGCTTAAACAATCACGATACTAATTTAGTTAGACGATCAATTACATACCATACGTACTGTACGTACGTACGTAAAAAAAATCCACATGAGTGCATCAACTTAATTATGTGAAGGATATGCAGATAGAGTACGTATACATAAAATAATCCAAACAGCTTATTTAATTAAAAATCTGAGAAAAAAAATTGCATAAATAATTAAAAGTGATCAATTATTTGGTTATTTATTTATTTTTTTTTTTTAAAAAAAAAAAGAAATAATGGAGGTCCCTGCAAACAAGATCCCAACAATTTTAATCGTTGGAGCTGGTATAGGTGGGCTTAGTTTTTACCAGTCTGTTCGAAAAAATCTTGGTAAAAAATTTCATGTTAAAATATTCGATCGTGAAACAAGTCCTCAAGGTTCATTTTTCAATGTTAAATTATTTTTTGAAAAACATAAATTGTTTATTATTCATTAATGTTTAATTAATTATTTTTAATTTACTAAAATAGATCGATGGCAAGGTTATAATATATTCTTGAATAGAAAAGGTGTTACCTCTTTACTCTATTGCACACCACCTGAAGTTCAAGCTCGTCTTCCCGAAGCAATACCAGGTTCAACTCCTAGGGAATGTCATACTTTGGCGCTTACCGATCATGTTGGGAGATATCTACTTTATCTACCACATCAACAAACCAAAAATATCTTTGAAATAGAACCTCTTAAACATGATTTCGCTGGTATAGTTGCATATCGCAATATATTAAGAGATGTTTTATCGGAAGGTGTTGATATCCAATGGGGTAAAAAATGTGTTGGTTATGAAGAAAGTGATGATGGTGTTTGGGCATTGTTCGAGGATGGAACGAGAGAATTTGGTGATTTATTAATTGGTGCTGATGGAATTAATTCTCCAAGTATGTTATTCTCACCACCTCTTATCATTAATTGGTTCATTTATCTAATAAACTTTATATTGCTTTTTGATTGTATATAGTTCGAAAACAAAAGATTCCTAACTTTGAATTCTTCGATCTTGGTGTAACTAGTGTCACTGTAGATATCGCTGTACCAAAACATTTAGCCAACAAATCGATGTCTATTTATTCAAATTCAGTAGTACAGGAATCTCTTGGCAAAAACGGCGATTTTCATTTTGCCGTGTTTCGTTTTATACCAATCGATCAATCTGATGAACCAACTTATAGGATTACTCTTGCATACATTTATCCAACAAAATTTGATATTAAAGATAATATATCGATTGACGATGATAATCCTGAATCTGTTATCAAACATACGATTTCAAGAATTAAACAATTACGTCCACCTTGTGAGTTAACCGATTTATTAATTGAATTATTTTCGTGTGTTCCATTCTCCCATCTGGGCGAAAAGTATCCGTTTCGAACATATAATCCTCCACGACGTCGTCAATTTCTTGATGTTTATCCATTATCCGTCCCGCCCTGGAAAAATGATAGAATAGTTTTGTTAGGTGATGCTGCGCATGCTATGAATCCAATATTAGGATTAGGTTTGTTTCATTAAAAATTTCTTTATAAAAAAAAAATTATTATATACTTATCTTTCATATTGTTCATATATATTTTTTTAAGGTGCAAATAATGCACTACAAGATGCCGATTTATTGACCAAAGAATTACGTAATTACGAGAATGATAATTTAGTCGAATGTATTCGACGATATAACGAGCAAATGCGAGTTCGATCATCTAAAGATGTCATGGAGTCACGTAACATGATATTAGATCATCAAGAGTCAGTAGGAAATTTTGGTCTAGTTGTTAGATATTCTATGTTTAGGTTTACCAACTTTCTTAAATACATTATTGCATTTATTAAATTTCATACTTAGGAAGTATAATTCCTATTTACGATTCATTTCATTATTTGTCATATAGGGCCTTTGCAGTAGAAAAGGCCTAAGTACTATATATATAATATATAGGCCTTTTCTACTGCAAAGACTCTATATTATTTACAGTGCTATAATATTATTATGCATATTACAGTTGCAGTTCATTATTGTCTGGTGCAAAAAGGTTGATACGCTGAAAATAAAAAGTAATCGTTTATATATAAAATTTTTAAGTTTTAATAATATGCTTACAATTTTTTTAAATCAAACAAAGTAGATTATAAACTATATATATATGTTTGGGTCGAATTTTCGACAAACAAAAATCCCTGACCAAATATATAATCAACGCTGACCTAACGCTAACGCGAGCTAACTTGTCGGGAATTTGAACGGCTTCCTAAATTGCATATGGTGCATGCCAAGGGGTGCATCTATTTGATTGACCTAATGCCACTGATACTCCCGGGATTGAAAGTGTTATATTTATATGTGACAGATTAGCTTCGAGTGTAACATAAGTGTATTTGGTTATGTCCTGAAGATCGATTATCTTTGGTAAATATAGTATACAATTATAGTATCATATTTAGTTTTACGCCAATTACATTACTGGATCCTGATATTACCTGTAATTGTCTAAAGCACTGTGCTTCAAACTATACTTAGAATTATGCAATTTAGTTAGGGATGCATCGGTCCGGTCCGGTCCGGTCCGGTCCCGGTCCTAGTGGGACCGTTATCATAGTATTTTCAGTATCAGTCCGGTCCGTCCTCGGTCCCAAACCGGTCCTTCAATGGCTACGTCATATCTTAAATGCATTAGATTTTATTGGTTAAAAATGACGTAATTACTTATTGTTGGATGTAAACAAACATCATATGATTTGTGTTACACCTGATCAAGCAATTTGATTGGGTGATACGAAGATTACAGTTTGTAACAACAGGACCGGTCCAGGACCGGTCCTTCAACAGTCCCACGGTCCTTATCGGTCCCGGTCCTGGACCGGTCTTTTTCAGACCGATGCATCCCTACTAGGGATGGGTTCGATTACGAACGGTTACAATTATTCATAGCCAATTTGCTAAAACCTGATATTATTTTTTTTAATCTTTGCTAGTAATTAAAGTTGTTCAGAATTAAACCCATCTTATAAGTGGAAAGAATGATACTTTCCTGAGACTCAGAATTTTAAAATTTGTTAACCGCTATAACCGGTATGACGTTAACAAATTTTAAAATTCTGAGCCCCAGAGAAGGTATCATTCTTTCCACTTATAAGATGGGATGAACAGAATTCAATTCTGAATAACTTTAATTAATAGCTCAATTATAAAAAATCATCTCAGTATTTAGCAAATTGGCTATGAATAATCGTAATTGTTCGTAACCGAACTCATCCTTACACTTGACTGAAATTAGCACCTGAAATTAGACTATGCACCCATTAGTTAACAATTTTATCAGGTGTAATTGGTGCTGCAACTTCAGTCGGCAAGACATAAATTAATTTATTAATCTACTTAATCATCTATTTAATTAATAATCTATTTAGTTAATTACGTACCTATTTAATTATCTATTGCATGTTGCAGGGACCCGAAAAATATTATCAGTATAGTCAAACATATTAATTATATCGATACAGCATATTACTGTGCCTTCGCATGAGAACGTATTTTTTAATTGATATGTTGTAATATTAGAACCAATTAAATCGTCAAAAGCTTGATAAAGTATTCAAACAGATGCCATTTAAATATTATGCAGACGAACATCCATCATTGAAATCATGGACCCACATTAAATTCATCCACTCACTAGTGAAATAATGAACTCATTCTAATGTTGAATTATGAACCCGTCTGCTGTTGAAATCACTACTAAATTATAAACTACCCACCTATCATTTAAAATCTTCCACTGTTGATACATACATAATGTTGAATGCACCACGATTGAAATTATGAACTCCCCCACTGTTAAAGTCACAAACCCATCCATTGTTTAAGGTACAAATTATCCACTATCCAAATTACATACTACTTTCACTAAATCGTGAATCTATTGGTTAATGAAATCATGAATCCACCTACTATTGAGATCACGAATTCGCTATTAAAATTGTAGACCCGCCCACAATTGAAATTACTACTTTTCATTCTTATGAACTTATCTAATGTACTTTGAACTTACGAACACACCCACTGTTGAAACAATGAATCATCCCTATAAAAATCACGAACTACTTACTGTTGAAATCACGAACTACCTACTATTGGAATCACGAACTACTTACTGTTGGAATCATGAACCTACCCACTGTTAAAATCACGAATTAAATTATGAATATATCTATATTGAAATCGCAAATCCACATGTTGTTGAAATCACGAATCTATCTACTACTGAATAGTGAACCTATTACTCTGTTTCTGCTATACAAATTTTATAGTTTATAATGTTTTCAAACCTGATAACCTCTCAATACTGATACAAAATCCGTCACAATTTTGAGAATTTCGGCAGTACATATTTTATTAAATTAACTTTAGAACTAGGATCAGATTAAAGTCGTCTAGGTTTAATTAGGTTTATATTAACAAAATTGCCTTCCCAGCAAGTTTTTTAAATGTTCTGTATCACGTGCTTAGGCTCCTTCTTAATTAATAAAGGTGTCAACTAAACGCTAAGCCAGACAATCAAAACCATATCGATATTGCTCTCTAAGCCGTGGCGGTAAATAACACAAATGATTTAGACCGTGTGTACGTATTATCAAGTAAAAACCTGTAAATACTGGTTTAAATTTTTAACATTTTGAACGTATCTATAAAAATTTAAATTTAGAATTTTCATAACTCACATCTAATATGTGCATGTCAAAAAATTCTTTTTCATATTTTATATTCAAAAGTTAAAAAATAATTCATTCAATAATAGTTCTAATACATTTTGCTTAGCCAAATATTGATTAATGCTAGTGCTTTACTTGATTGCAAATATTGATTGAAAAAGTTTTAATGTTCAAGAAGTGAATTATCAAATTCGATGCTACTCAAGATATTATTAGCACTTCTATGAACTTAACAAGTTGTACATCAAAAATGTCAATTGCGCAAATTGCATAAAGACTCACTACCGTAAAACGCTGTATAAGGTACCCCCTTGATTTGTATCCTCTTTGATTTGTACCGGGTACGTTTCAAGGTCATCGGATGCGGTATTTGTAAGATACCCTGGTATATTACAGAAGAACAAAATACAGTCGATACTGTCTAAATGCATACGGTCGGAAAAGAAAAAAAAAAATCAATTTTATGCATTTATACAGTATTAACCAATCAGATATCAGAAAATTAACTGTCTAAATGCATATTACTATTAAATTTTTTTAAAAAATTATGCATTTAGACAGTATGCAGTATGCATCTAGACATTATTGACTGTACCGAAATACGGTATCGCTATATACTTAATGCACCTTCTTACAAGGTACCCCCATATAATATACCCTCCTCCATACAAGGTACCCAGGGGTACAAATCAAAATTTTTATCATGTGAATTGTAAGATACCCGGGTACCTTATACGTAATGAATGTGGTAACTCATCAATCGTAATATGATGTACTACTGTATCTACTATCGCCACATCATGCTATAATATAGTTAAATTAGATGGTTTTTTTTTTATAATTTTAATCCTATAAACATGTAGAATGAAAAAAAATTGTTAAAATTAGTCTGGTAGTTGCGATCTGGGAAAGATTTTTTTACCAAACGCCGATTTTAGTACGGCCACAAACATAAATGTGGGATATTATTTTTAAGGAACGTTAGGTATGCAACGTTTTTTTTACTTTATTTATTACTATCGAAGCCGAAAGAGAGGAGTTGTCCTTTATTAACTGGGATACCATATTTATACTTTTTATACGCAAGGGTTTCAACCCAGGTCTTGGGTCTCAAACCTTGACTTGGGGTCCCAAACCTCTGTGAAGGGTCAAAACCCGGGCTAGGGGTTCGAAACCTAACCATTGAGTCCTAAACCCGTATACTACATTATACTATCGACTACTATGCATGCGCGAATTACATAAAGAAAAATGAAGCGAAACATAGAGCAAGATTACACGAGAAAACTTTAACAAAATTTTCGTAACATTGAACTTTGAGCGAAGTTTTCTCAACAACCATCTAACTAATCTCAATAAATTTTTTGTTAATTTGAATTCTATAGCTCCGTATAATTCAAATAAAATAAAATAAAATAAATAAAATCGAGGTTGTTGGTAGTTGTTGAGAAAATATCGCTCAAAATCGGAAATTTTTCCCGCCCATAAACTTTCAAACTTTGAGCAAAGTTTTCTCGACAGCTGCTTAAACAATCCCGATTAAAATTTTTTTTATTTGAATTCTATAACTTGTAGTATTCAAATAAAAAAAGTTTCGGTGAGATTGATTAAGAAACTTTTCTCAAAGTTAGAGAAAATTTATCCCATCTATAAATAAGATATCTAATTTTTTTAAATTTTGAAATTTTCTCGACACCTAATCAATTTCGATTAAAACTTAATTATTTGAATTCTACAGAGCCATAAAATTCAAATAAAAAACCTTTTTTCGAGATTAATTAGGATGTTGCCAAGAAAACTTTGTTCAAAGGATCCACCTTATTTCTCCGACACTTATTTCATTGACACAACACCTTACTGACAATCAATTCACTGACACTTAATTCACCGACAATTAATCCACCGATAAGCTTAATTCACTGACAAGCTTACAGTTAATTCAAAATTCATGGACCACCCTGAGTATTTATCCCGAATTATTGTTGAGATGGTGGTGGGTGATCACGAGTTTTAGATATTGATATCAATGTGATATGTTTTATTAAAATATGTATAATAAATACAAAAAAAATACAATACTTACTGTAAGTATTGTATTTATTTTTTGTATTTATTATACATATATATTTTAATAAAACATACTACATATAGAAATTTATACATTGATATTAATATAAAACTTATGATCACCTGCCACTCATCATCCC